CCCTTTTCCCTAAAATTCAATTGAGCATGACATCAGAACAGTGGAAAACCCATTGAATAGTCTGAAGCGTCTTTCAAGTCCAAAGACTTTAAAAATGTCTTTAAAAACTTTTAGATCTCTGTATGTGGTTTGTAACATTATGTTTAGCTTATTATAGTATTACTTGGTTTCAATTAAGAATAAATATGTGTTTGATTGCTTTGCATTAATTCTGTTGCAATTGTAAAATTAAAAGATTTTTGCAACGAAAATAACATCAAAACTACAGCCACAGATAATACCCCAGGCACTAAACAGTAATAGTTCCTTTTGATGTGGGCTTAACTTGTTCAGGGTGCCAATTTCCAAAATCGAGAAAAACGTTATTGGATGCAATAGATTTGTTGATGCACACACTGTAAAACATGTACTGTACAAGTGCTGCTCATAGAGATAATGACACTGCTGAGAGCCAAGCTGAGACACTGGGTGGACAACAGTGTGTGTGTATGTATGCTTGGATATCCCCTTGTATTTGTGTATATGGTCAAATGTATAAATATGTATATACGTGAGTGTGTGTTTACCAGGCCCTCATCTCTGAAGCCCTCCTCTGGGTCTAGATAGGACCAGTCTAAACACACACACACACACACACACACACACACACACACACACACACACACACACACACACACACACACACACACACACACACACACACACACACACTCTCTCTCTCTCTCTCTCACACACACACACACACACACACACACACACACACACACACACACACACACACACACACACACACACACACACACTCAAAGCCCCCCCTCAGAGTCATGCTTTTAGGCGAGGGGCCCTAAATGCCTTACAGATGGACTCCTAACAAACACAACACTCTGTCCCGGCCCTCAAGTATTCCCAGTATTTGGCCTTGCTGTAATTTACAGCATACTTACCTAATTGAGATGCTATTACGGTCAGGGCACGCATTCTTCTGCGTGTGCAAAGTGCTAATGCAGATTATATAAACGTGACATACATGGCACAGTATAGTTGCCCTAATATAGCAGCATAACGTTAACCAAAGAGTGAGTGTGATATATAGTCCATGTAGTGTACTTAGGGCAACATAAATAATGATGTGTTGAGAAGAGACATGTCTGTGCAGGTCTGCAGGGTATTATCCTCACTATACACTGCTGATGGTTTTACACCCACCAAAGACCAAAGGAGTTTCTAAATACAACCGAATACCACTTTGATGACTAAATTATGATGGAATAAATACTGAATGTGAAACAAAAACTGAATAATTGCCCCCTTGCTGCTGAATGATGAGTTTCCTTCTCATTCACTTAAGTATTTCTAAAAGTGAGCTCAGATTTCAGAACAGATTTATTTTTTAATGTATCTTTTATGTAATTTTAGGTCTAGAGTAGTTAAACAATAATGCAACAATCAGCAAATTAAAAAAATAGGCATATACAGTTTCAACACAGACTTAAATTTGAGAGAATAAAAAAACAAAACTGTGAAAACCACCATATTACTTTGAAGTTAAGGATTCTCGTAATCTTTCCAATTTTAATAGATAACTAATAAAATGTAAATATTTGCATTCTCGATATCAAGTATTTTCAAAATTCTAAATAATGAACTGTTATATCTTCTGCTTTTGAGAAGATATTTTGAAAAAATGTATTCAGTATTTTCAAATTGTATTTGAATAAATAATTTATCACTGAATAACAGATTATTCATCGCCAGCAATTAACAAATTAGAAATTTAAAGGTTTGGTGTGGACTAAATTCTTAACCTTGAACAAACCAAATTTCTCTTTCTACATAATTAAAGGTTGATGCCTTCCGCTCTACACACTAATTTCAGCTTTAAGTTGCAGGGATTCTCTGAGTTGGACAACACTCCACAATATTGTTTAATCTCTGAAACAAAATAGGATTCGGATCAGACTAAAAAAGCATAAGCCTGTTTTCAGGCATTTACAGGCTATGTGAAGGCATATTGTTGTAATTTCGCTGCCCTTTCTGTCTATTGCTATGAGGGAAAAAATCCTTTTCCTATAAAACTGGGAGAGATTTACCACAAGCAGTGGGCTGACTTCATCCTAAAGCATGCAGCGAGCTCCTTTCTGAAAGGCCACGCTGAAGCCCAGAGACACTGGCCGCTGTTTGAGCTTGTCGTTTGGGTATTTTTCATCGAGTGTGTCTGACAGAAAGATAACACACTGTCACAGAGTGCAATCCATCTTCGTTTCCAGGTCGCTCCTGGAGAATTCAATCTTGAGAGTGTGGGGTTAGACACATTGGTGATTAATCAACTCTATGCTCATGTGCGTGAGTGTGTGTGTGTGCAGATCTATATGTGTCTTTGTCTGTGTGTGATAAATCACTGTCTAACCCTGTACAGGACACACAATGCCAGAGCCCCCTTCAGTCCACTGAAGATAAATTCATCTATGAGTGATGTGCTGACAATAGCTGGACAAGAAAATGCAATCTTACTTACTTAGCTGCAGCATAAAGCGCAGTCAGAGTGCTCAATGTCTGGTGTTTTACACTGGAGAGGGGTGGGAATTTGTCAAAAAAATAAAGCTGTAGCTAATGTAGCTGGATGCCACCAAGAGTGAGTGTTGAGAAAGGCATGGGAACACACTCTTGTGTACACACAAACCCACACACACGCAAACATTTAGGGCACAAAGCTGATGAGTAATTCCTCTGGGCTATTGGGAAAGATCCTATTCAGAAGTGATTCAACTGTGACACCAGGATTTTGCTTTCTGTATGGTTAGGTTTACTATTGCGAGCAAGGGGTGACGCTATTGTGAAATTACACAACGTTATGAAATACGTGCAGCGATGCGAGACAACAAAAGTGACAGGGCCGGAGATTGTGTTGCAAACAACTTGCTACTGACAACTGAACTCAGGGGCACTCTAACCATATGAAGTTATAAAAAACTTGATTCATTGTGTATCTCATCTCATAATAAACTACAAACAATGAGGTGCGATTTCACTTGTGTTATGCTGGGATGAGGTGTCATGTTGAAATGTTGTTTCAAGAGTGACAAAATCAGACTTTCAAGGGAAAATTCTCAATCTAACCTTCAACAAAGTGAAGATTGGAAATGGGCCAGGAGCAAAAGGGAATGCACCGTTGAATTATACGATTATTTTATTCAAAGCATATTTAGTAGATCTAGGGTGGACAATAATATGTGTGAAGTGCCACTGGAGCTTAAAGATGCAGTCCTGTCTGGAGGAGGACCAGGGAATGTACCAAGTAACAGAGGTCGACAGGTTCATCAACCTGCTGCCTGAGGGAAAAAGGAGGCCCCCATTTCCATGTAACAGGTGTGCTGGCCCATCAGAACCATCAAAACAAGAAATCTCTTTGTTTTGATGGTTCTCTCACTTTCTCATGACTTGAAATGAGACAGAGGAAGGGGACGAGTGCTAAGGTGAGAAAGTTAGTAATTATGAAGGATTTGTGGCTCTGTGCGTCACAAGTTTCTATTCTTCTGTTCCGCTTTGAAAGGATGCTTGTTGCAGCAATAGCATGCAAATGCAGTTCTGATTAGAGGAATAGTGAGTGGTTCCACATTTTTTTAGGAGGGAGGGCAGCCTGCATCATTAGGCTTCAACTGATTTGTTTCTCAATTATCCACCTCTCAGTTTTATTTAGCCTTTATGTCAAGGCTGAGTGGGGACAGAGGAGAAGTAAAAGAGTCATAGGTAGAGTAGGCACTTTTAAACGCAGGTATATGTTTCCAATCAGGAGATTGCGATCACAACGTGTAGCCCAGAGCAAATGGGCCGTAACTCAATCACCGAGGCAGGTCTTCAGGCTTGCAGTGTACATTGGTTCAAGATCATTACTCCTCTCTCCGTAACAAAGGGGTCTGAGAACAGCAAACGGATGCAAACATTAGAGAACATCAGTGTTGATGAGCGCACAGTCATGGGATGGCAAATGTTAATGCAAAAGTGGGGGAAATCCTGAGCTGGCTGACCTGAATAGGAAAAAAGTGGCTACAGAATGCATTGTTCTATTGTATAGGAGTTGTTTTCATTAACTGTAAGATGTGAGAACAACCTGACTATAAGGTTAGTATTCAATTTTGAACACCAGCACTATAAAAAAAACAGGCGCAAAAAAGACATTTGCGAACCTTTCCAAGTCTACAAAAATAATTTCACTTTCTAGTGATGCCACCAGTCAGACAAACAGACAACAGATGTAGCCACAGACCAAAACTAACAAACACATTTCATATCCTATAATTTGCACATGGAAAGACTGATAGACAGGAAGGCAGACAGATTCACACACACCCGTCCAACTGGTACAACCAGCCCCAGAGGGAAAATGTCTATCTTGGCATCACACTGGCATCAGTGCCGGCATCACGCTGGCAAGTTGTGCCCATCCCTCTATGACAGAGGACACACCTAGTTACACCCGTGGGCTTCATAGCACAGCTGTTGCCTATTGGCGGCGCCTCACTGCATAAAAACTTTTCTCTTTAGCCCCCATTGCTTCCAATACTCCCTTATGGAAACATAAACATCCAAGAATTGTCATCAATCAACGTACATAGGATTACAGGAAAAAAAGGGGGCTGGCATGGAAAAATCATCAAAATTACGCAGCCCAGACCAGGAGTAAAAAAAAAATAATGTAAAAACTGTAAGTGCAGCATAAACCCAGCACTGAATAGATGCTGATAAGATGGATAGCCGAGAATGCAGGTGTATGTTTTCTATTGGCACAGATTGACTGAAGCCAGCCACAACATGGTCATATCAAAAGATTCCACAACACTTGTTCATCTGATACCACAGACACAAGTCACAGTTGAACATACAATTACGTAGTCACACACACACGCATACTTTTCTTATGAACACAGAGGGTGATCTAATCAGTTTATCTCTCTTGCTTACAGACAAAACACACACACACTGAGCGCCAGGAGTGTGCCTACCTTATCTTCTAGCCTGATCAGACGTGCTCCAATCGTTGGGTATTCTTTATCTTCCCCTTTTCCTGGTAAATGAAAAATAAGAAAATCTAACATATATATACACACATGTTGACAAGAATTTACTACTGAAATTCTTGGTGGTAATCGCAAGGACACAAAAACAGATGCAGAAACATGTGTTTTTCCAAACTTAGTTAAAAAACACATTACAAACATAACATTATATTTTAGTAAAACCAACCATTCATTCATTTTCTGCCACTTTTGTGGGTACTTACAGCCCCCACTGTAATGTACAGTATATGCATATCAGGAAGAGTTATGTAACCTTAAAAATATGATTAACCTGAGCTTAAGTAAGTTTACACTCCACTGCGTATATATCACTGGATCTGCATTAGCAACACAGTATTTTCTCGAGTAAAACCTCTACAATGGTGATTTCACAGATGTGTATGATGTGTGAACATAACCATTCATTCATACTGTTTGTGTATATGTATGTATGAATGTATGTAGCGTAGCCTCGGCGAATATGCAAAATTTGAAAGTACAGGGTTGCGGACCTGTTTTCTTACTTGAGTCCCTTGTCCAACTGGCCAACTGGTTTACCACGTTAGTGGCCAGGGTCAGCCAAAATATGTTTATTAAGCACCTGGGAACTGGACCAAAGGAAAAAGGGGGGGAGGAAAGGAAGGCGCGGGGAGCCGGGTGTCAAGTGTGTCGAGAATGTTTAGACTATGAATGAATATGTATACACAGTGAAGTACTCTTTATATTAAAATCATCAAATAACAAATGAATTTCCTTGCAACTGAAGGATCCTGATAATGTGGACTGATAATCAGACTGATTTGCTATTTTTTAACTTTCACTTTATTAATTCAGCATGTTCATGTTAGCCAATTTCTTGTTGGTTGGTTTTGTTTTGCCCTAACCAATCAGTAGAGTGACATATTCATCCAGCCAACATAATTTCCAGTTGACACAGAAGCAGTAGTAGCAGTTCCCAGAACAGTTACTGGCACATTTTATACAGTGATCAAAGATGTGTTGCTTTAAAGTTGTTATATTTGTAACACAGGTGATTCATTGGCATTGATTTCAGTTTAGGGTGAGGGTTTGTCATAATTTTTCTGTTGCTATTTTTCATGAATGTAGTCAGGTAGCTACTTAGCTATGTCAGTGATTCAGAGATGTGGGACCAGACTATTGAAAATGTCAGTTTCACTCGAATTTTACTATTTCATTTGTAGCATATAACAAGACCCATATTATGTTTGGTGATTCTATGTTTTCTTCATAATTAATGAATACTTAATAACCTTTATGCTTAACTTGAATATTACATGACCACAACTATAAGAGAACACAATACAAAAACAATATTAATGATTTAAATATATTAAGTAGGATTCTGTAGATTTTAAATATTGTTAATTTATTACTTTATTTTAACAATAAATTCATTACATCCATACACATACACCGACATACAAACACACATAAGCCTGCTAATGCATTTCTAAATGCACAGTGAAACAAGCAGTGTTAACAAATTTTCATAGTCCCAAATATGAAAACATACATGTAAATATCCCACATCCAAACAGAGACATGCACATACATCGGGGACCTCTCTTTCTGTCATATTTAGTCTGGCACGGTTTTGTGTACGAGTGAGGCATAAACACAGAGAGGAGTGAGGAGTGATGGCCGTCTATCAGATGTGGACTGTTGTGTTTACTGTGTATTTACCTGGAAGAAACATTCCTGGTTTCCCCAGTGTACCGTCCAGCCTGGTGGAGAGACAGAAGTAATTAGACTGAGAAACGTAAAAACACTGGCCAGACCTGGAAGAGATTCAGTTGAGTAAACAGCACTTCATTCCAGCTCATGAACCAAACAGTAAAATAATATAAGCCAATTTATAGAGCAAATAAAATTAAACAAATGGTGTCAGCTGGAACATTATTTATATATCACTGTTTTGGGGGAAAACAAACAAATAAAAGTTTTGAAATAAATAAATAATAAAAAATATATGCTATGTTCTTATTGAAATGTCAAGCTTTGAAAATAAACAAGTCTTGCTTATGTGGACTGTGAACTATAGACATCTGTATAGATCTATAGTGCTGTCATGTCTTTTTCTTTGGATTTTCTGTTGAAAGCTACATTTTGTTATTAGTCTTCTTAGGGTAGCAAATAATAATAAATGAATTATTTAGTATTTTCTTGATTTACTGATACATTATGATGCCCCGCTGGTTTAAAAATTTCACAGTGCGTTACCATGGTTAGGCTGAATTACTGCAAAAGGTGTTACGAGGTCCAGATGACGCACTTACTCGACCCAATTTATTACCTAACCGACCGTTGTGATGTTTGGAGAAAGAAAATCGCTTAAAAAAAAAAAAAAAAAAAGGCAGAAAATTTGCAGGAAGAGGACAAAAGGTTTTACTTTAGTGAGGACTGGACTTCATTACAGCTCAACAAAGCATAACAAGGTGTAACAAATCAGAGGCCAGTGAGGCTCCTATCTGTCAGATGAACAGTAAGAACAGTAACAAACTGTACTGCAGGAGAACGATCCAACTGACAGAAACTGTTAGTTTAGTGAAAGCTGAATATGGAAATTTATAATGGAGGCATCTCTCTTCCTGTTGTCTTCATGACCCGGTTCAGTTCAGTACAGCTCAGTTGCAGGGAAACACACATTTTCATTGTATAACTTGGCACTTCACAGCTAATGTGTGCCATACTGTGCCAATAGACAAAATGGTACAAGACAATATGGGATGAGATTTCAGTTGACCTATTTTGTTTTAAAATTAGATTATATGTTTTGTTTTCTTCCTTCTTGTTGTGACTATGAGGTGGTATCCAACATAATGGTCCCAAGAATGTGAAAAATCAACTGATGTAAAGTTAGAGACAAAAAGTCCCAAAAAAGAGCAAGAAACAAGGTCAAAGATGTCACCTTCTCTGCAGCTCCTTGATGCGAACCATCATGTTGAGGTGACCCTGGGAATACTGCTCGATCACGTCTCGCACGTCATAGGGCTTCCGCGCTTGCTGTGGATCAATGCACGCACGCACACACAGAAACACAAAAACACACGCACACACACCCAGAGGGACACAAAAGCCATTGTCAACCATAGCCGCTGTGACTTGGTCCCCGAAAACATCCCCAACCCCCTTGGGTGCAAAGGGTTCATTGTTAACTTATTGTGTGTGTGTGTGTGTGTGTGTGTGTGTGTGTGTGTGTGTATGTGTGTGTGTGTGTGTGTGTGTGTGTGTGTGTGTGTGTGTGTGTGTGTGTGTGTGTGTGTGTGTGTGTGTGTGTGTGTGTGTGTGTGTGTGTGTATGTGTGTGTGTGTGTGTGTGTGTGTTTTGTGTATGTGTGACAAGTGCATGGTCATGTAGAAAGCAAGCATGTTAAAGTCCTTTCACAGCTTTGTTTAGTGTGACGTGGATACAAGCAGCATCAGAAAGAACCCAGTGAACTCTTTGGGGTATCCTTGGTATATGCAGAGTATAGCCTCTGCAGCTGAGATCACTTAGGCTATAATTGAAAACATGTACAACACTTGGAAATGGCAAGAATATAGGAACCATTCTACAATAACATGTAGCATGAAAATGATGGCCAAAGTATTTCAAACATGATCATGTTTTTTTTTTTTCCCTGAAATATTTATTGCACAAAATTTTTCGAACATAATTCTGCTGACTTTGGTGCTACGTGAGGCCACGTCCTGCTGTGTGTGTGTGTTTGTGTAAGCTTATTCATGCAAGTGTGTGTTTTTTATGAGTGCAGTACAGTAAGTAAATTCCTACTGTAGCCCCAGAGACAGGTTAGTAGATTTCCCATGATACTACGCCTGGACTGAAGTGAGCACAAAGAAGACATGCAGGTGCAGGTTTCAGGCATTTCCACACAAACACACACGTACAGACACATACACATGTGCAGCAGAGCAGCAGCTGATAAATGCCCTTGGGGCTCCCCGTCCTCATCCTGTATAACTGCACACACAACATGCTTCTCTCACTCTCTCTCTCTCACTCTCAATCCGTCTCTTTTTATCTCTGTATTTCCCCCTTCTTTGCTCCCCTTAACTCTGTAAAATTTCTCTCCTTCTTTGGATTTCCTTTTTGCTTACCTGAAACTTCTTTCTGGCCACAAAGTACTGCATTCTGCGAAGGACTTTTACAGCTGATCTCTGGGCATGGGACAACCTGTGACATAAAGGGAGACTGATTTAGTCTAAGAGAAAGAATTAGTCTACAGATGTTTCCTTGCTTTAAAATCTGAAGTGGCTTGTTTTGAACAAGCGGAGATGTAAAAAAACAAAAACAAAACAAACCAAAAAAAAACCAGAGGAAAGGCTGCAGTGTGATTGGCTCTTGCTGCCTTCAAGGATCAACAATGTGTGTACCATGCAACAGCAAAACACGTGGCCTTGACAAAAGAACACACATGCTGACAAGTATACATTGACGTACACAAAAATACACCTATGGCTGTATGTGTCAGCACAGATAAATCCATGTTGTCTATCAGTGCTTGCCTTATCAGCCACAACTATGAATCCACAACATGGTGCAAAGAAAGAAGAAAACCAGACTCAGTTTGCATTAGGAGGAGTCCCAAAAGACACGTCCCTCAGCTCAAAGCGGCACATCTGTGTCAACACAAGTGAAAACCCACTGGTATGGAGCTAACACTGAAACAGAAACCACTGGATGCAAACAACACATACACAACCTCATACATGCATACCATAGTGACTGTATGGCATGCACTTGTGTTTGTTTTTTCAAGGAGGCACTCTGTGTGCTGTGCACTGGTGCTTGTGATTTATTTGTCCGAAAACATGTCCTTGGATATTCCATGTGTGACAGCTGCATATTTGGATGATGCGTGCTATGGGTGAAAATGGAGGAGAAAACACAGACTGAAAATTTGTTGAGTGACTGGATTTCAGTGGTCCAAATGATTAAAAAAAAAACAAATACTGTGTGTGCATGCACATGTGGACACAGGCCCCCCACGCAAACCCAGCAGTTAAAGAGTTGTCAAATCATCATGTGAACTTGAGAAAGACATAGTGTCGTATTATATTGTCAATGGTGTGGAAGAAGCTATATACTAATGATGCTATACTTAAATATTTATCATATAAGTATTTATTACATACCGATGTATGATTTTTAGAAATGCTTTGTAATCATATCTGCATGTCAAATGGCCCCAATTGATGTTCCCACCCCAAAGTTGAGAAGCTCTGACTTGAGTTGTGTACAAGGAGCATAAAAACACACACTGCCCCTTTATTTCCATTGATACTGCACAGTTTATCATGAGGTTTTACTGCAGAAATGAATTATGAATGCTGACATATTTTTTATATAATTAATTATCTCAAACCTCTCTATTGAAAAAGTTTAAAGCCTCAAATGCACAAATGTAAATAAGTCCAACCCATGGTGGTTAGGAAGACGGCCTTCCAAGTGTGTGGTTAAGTTGAGAAGGTCAGAGGTGCATGAATCAGTGCTAAGAGGGGTTGTGGTCAAATACATTAGCCCTCCCTTTAATACTGCCAGGCATTAGTCCACTATGTAAAACTGTCAATGTCTTAGTTAAAGGACCCTTCTGCTTATTGGTGCACGTTACAGACTTGATTCTTGATTCTTACACACAAAGAGAGATAAAGTGCAAAGGATGCAGTTTTATGAGTTACTTAAGGGACCAATGTGTAGGATGTTGTGGCATATAGCCGTGAAGTTGCAGATTGCAACTAACTGAACACCACTCATGTCTGTATTCCCAACTTGGGAATGAGAACGGGCTGGGAAATGTGTAGGAAAAACTACATTGGCCACAAAACTCGCAAAAACTAGTATTGGATTTGTCCGTTCTCTCCTACTGTAGAAACATGGTGGTTGATCACGGAGAACACTTTTCAGGTGATTAATGAAAACATACCTATGAATATAATATTCAATTTTTGTCAGTAGATCCTCCTAAATGTTACACACTGGACCTTTAAAAGCAATTTCAAATATTCAAATGAAAATGATAAAAACAGCTCAGGTCTACTGGGTGAGGGGAGTTGCTTCTATTTCATGTAAAGTATGAGACAGGTGACCTTTCAGCCATCTGTTGGTATCAGAGACATTAAAGTTAAGCTGGTAAGCCGTGGGACGGGGTGTGTGTGTGTGTGTGTGTGTGTGTGTGCCAGCAGTGTATCTGCTGAGAAGGTGGATTAACAGCAAACTGACGTCACCAGATTCTTGCTGGAGAGATTCAAAGGAAGATGGCAGAAACGAATGAGGGAATGGAAAACAATCTGGTGCAACTCCAAATGTGCAAGTAAGAGAAAATTATAATGGTTAGAGTTGAATTCCCATTTCTAAACACTGGTCTGTACACTACTTATGTACTGTATGCAATGACAATGCATCAGACAGCCATCTAACAAAAAATGAATGACTATTCTTATGTCAGAATCTATGCTTTTGTATGGAGGGGGTAATGTGTGTGTCTGTACACTGTTTTGAACATTTCTCTCCAACTACGTCCCTATCAAAGCAGACACACCCAAATGCACACACAAGCACACACCCTCGACACACGAAAACACACACACCACCCTCCCCCTCCCCAAACAGGGGTCTCTGTGGAGTCAACAAGTCGCTCTGAGGTCTTAATTAGGCAGAGGGACAACAAAAGGACTAAACAGACAATGCATTGACATGGGACCATAAAACATCAAAGGCTGTCGGGCTGCTGTCTTTTTCCTGCCCTCCATGCGAGGACTGCCCAAGCTATAGGAGGAAATGCACACAAACAATACCAAACATAAAGAGCATGGGGCCCTATTTAAAAAAAAAAAAAAAAAAGTGCACCCCCCACCTCCTTGCTCTTCATCGTCAGAGGGTAGAAGGATGTGTTTTTTTCCCGCCTTTTTTCTGTGTGACTCAAAGGTTTGAGCATAATTGGGAAAGAAAACACATGTAGGAAACAAAAAACATGTGCGGTTTTGATCGTCGTACAACTGTACCCCGCTCTCTTGTTGCCCTCCTCCCGCTTCCTGCGTTTGACACAAATGCGGACACATGTTCATTGGGTAAGCGTGATAAAAGAATAACACCGAGGGTTTTTGTCCAACACCAATCTCCCCCTCCCCCCTCCACTCCATTAAACATTTGGCACACAGAAACTGAAGGAATGTAATTCTCACATCTCTCTGCTGATGCTGCCCTTCAAACACTTGCTGCCTCTGACTCTGCTTCCTACTCATCTCCTTCCTTTTCGTGTTTATTTTTCATCTGTGCAGAAGATTTGACACACAGTGTATCCTGGGGATTCCTTAAGTAAGCAAAGCTCAGATCTCACCCACGACGACTTCAATATATTTTCCATTGTCCTGCACTGTATGATTCATTCTCTATTGGGAAGGCTGGTTGTGTGGGGTTTTTTTTATGGATTAAACTCTAACTCTTAGCTCTTCTCAAAAGCCTTGCTATTCTTCATTAGGTCAACCGTAGAAGTCATGTACAAGCTGTTATTGCTGGAGTCATGAACTGGCCTTGTCCCTCTCTTGAAAAGCTGTGACAGATTTAGCCCCATGGCCTCCCCTGGACCTTTCTCTCTTAATAAGTTTTCTCTTTTTTCATTTTCAGATGGTCACTTTGGAGATCTCGGAGTTGTCAATGGCAACTTTCCCTCATCCCCCCACTCCCTTGGCTCTTTATTTGGCAGGGGACCGTCAAATATCCTGTGCTTCCATGGTGTGCTGCAATAACCTTGGAGTCTGTTAGGAGAAAGCAGCCTTAGACATCAATGTGCTACGGTCAGGGCCCAGCAAGACTGCTGGCCAGTGTGTGTGTGTGTGTGTGTGTGCATCTGTGTGTGTGTGTGTGTGTGTGTGTGTGTGTGCGTGAGATAAGCTTTATGACTGGTGCTTTGGTCCATCAAAGAGATGGGCTCTTCTTCTGTTCTCCTCAAAAACAGACATCCTTTTATCATATCTTTGAAGGATAAGATGACTACATTCTTTCAGGAATGTTTGATCTAAAAGTGACGGCATGCCAGAGGGTGCCGTGGTAAGAATTATAAGAGTGCATTTCTAAGACACTATTTCGAAAACAGCCAAGTTTCTCCATTCAGTGAGGGTTTTAAATGAATGGGCTTCGATGCAAGAAATGCTCCCATGCGGATTCTCCTATAAGATTTTGTCTAGTGGGAAATTAAACAGCTCTGAGAGGGATGTGCATGCAAAAAGAAGAATATGTTTACGCAGTCTCCACACCACTGTTTTCAGCTTGATTTCGTAAAGATGTCCGTTTACAGTGCAACAACAAAAACAAAAGCTAAATGTTGTCTTTTTTCCATAAAGCAACTCACAATTTATTTGTTCTCATTTACATATGTTATCTGTTGTTAGTCAAATGCATAAGATAGTTGTGGTGTTTGTTATTTCTGTGTGTCCATCTGACTTTCTTTTTTTCTCAAACTTGACACATTCAGATTGTTTTTAAATTGAATTTATAAATGTGACATAAATGTATATTTCTGTTTTCATTTGCTTTTGTATTTGTTTACTTTTGCATTAATTTACCTATTTATTTACTTTCCCATTAAATTGTCCATTAAATTGATTAATTTCTTCTTTTTTAAATTATTAAGTTCTGTATGTATTTATTTCTGCGTTATCTATCTATTCATTTTTTATTTTCGCAGTTTTCCGTCTTCCATACATGTGTCTGCTCCAGCTGTTTTCATGTCCCCACCAGATCAATAGACACTGATCAAGACATGCTGGAGACAAAAGCAGAAACCAAGCCACATCAAAGCGCCATGCCCATTAAGAGCTGATGACAAAGACAGAACAGAGAGAACAAGCCCCGTTTGATGTGTGTGGCCACAGAGAGAGAGAGGCCTGAGATACTATAGGTTTGCTAACCTCCTGCATTTCTATCACAACCACACTGTGAAACTACTGTATAGTGTGACAGAAGGGCTCTTTTGTGTATACACATGCAGGAATGTATAAAGCAAATGCAGATAAATTCTGTGCTTTAATCTCTCACACACAGTGGAGCTTGACTTTAACAAACTGCTGAAAGAAAACAAAACCTTGCTCAATTAGCCAATGATGATGTGGTGATACATACTTGGGATTTGAATCACTTCAAACACTATGTTGCTTGTGCAAAATATCCCTATATAA